CCCAGACAACTCGAGAAGGGGTTGGAAGGTAGCCACTCATGGATTCTATCAAGAGTATAGATTTGCAAGATGAGCATTGAATTTCCCTGGAACTACAATATGATGAAAAGTAACAACCATGAATCTCTAAATAACAAAATCATTGGATTTCTAAAGGTCCCAACTGTTTGTAACGTACTTGTCTTTTGTTAAAGAAATAGATCTTGGGTTTAACTCAATCCCAAAAACTGACTCATGAGAGGAGGATTACCGAGTAAATTCTCGAATTAGTCACCACAAAAACATGTATTTTTTTCCTAAATGTTGGTCATTTCTTCTCTAATGCTTGCCTTATTAGTCTTCAATTTATTAACTCTTTTTTCTTTCTATGCAACCAGCTGATTTGAGGTCATTGTTAGCTTGCCTTTCCAAGTAACTTTCTTTGGTGAATAAGACATATTGGTAGGTTCTATGACACCGGACTCATCTCCCTTGAAGCTTATTTTTCTGGTACTAGTTGGTCTTCGTTGTAACTTTTTTTGTTGAAGTCTAGTCTTTGCTTCAGATACCACCTTCGGCCTCAAAATTGGTCGGTCATCTTCATCTTCCTCTTCACCTTCCCATTTATAATCAACGATGGCTAAATATTGAGCAAATTATTGTTCTTGTTCAGAAATTTGACTCTCTTGTATTGTTGTTAAGGTCACATCTTGCATTTCCTGGGAAGATCCATATGTTGTGATCTCTGTTACTATAATATCCACGTGTCATTAGAAGTCCTTTTCTTGAAGATGACCAAGTCCCCCGTCTATTCCTTGCCTTGTCCTTTAAAAGTCAATGCTCTAACTTGAATCCTTCAACTTCAATAAAGTATTGCACTGAAAATCTAAGTATTTGGGGGTGAAATTGATCTTGAAATAGTTAAATAAGAAAAGAGGAAAGAAGAAAAAAGGTTATTAGGTTTAAGGGGGAGAAAGGAGACGATCAAATCTTTTATTTTTGATGAATCTTTTAATTGGGTTTGGGTCAAAGAATGTGGATATGAGTTGGGCGGGTAAAAAAATTTGGTGGGTTGAAATTTAAATTTATCCAATAGAAAGATGCTACGTAATAATTAATAATAATAAAATATATAAAATAAAAGGCTTTTGTTTTAGAGTCCGGAACATGGTTGAGCCATTAAAAGATAAAATTGACACAAATAAGTGTAATTTTTTCTTACACTTTATAAAGTAGAAATTTTTCTTGCACTTAATAAAGTAGAAGTTTTTCTTACACTTTATAAAGTAGAAGTTTTTAATTCACCAAAAACTTTTTACTTTCTTCTTCAAATTTTCTAACCCTATATGGGTCCCCAACCCAACATCGACCCCTCTTTTGAAATTTGAAAGTTCTCATTTGAAGTTTTTCGAACAATTGGAGGTCTGTAGCACAACCTGATAACCTAACTTATTGTGTGAGTTCCACACATAAACATAACAAAATAATATCAAAACCACATAATGTTTACAAGTTGACAAGCCTTTCAAATAGAGTATAATAACAGACTAATATCATATCTTAGTCGAGCTCCTGTCTCAACAAATATTAACATTTCTCTTCGACAAAGTAAGAGAACATCCAATGTGGTACTAGAACATGCATCTTGTATGCACCAGTAATTCTCAACTTTTTATATGTATGTATCTTCAGTAACATATGGAATCTAACATATTGCACTTAAGCTATGATTTTTTATTTAATTTGTTCCTCCTTAATCTTAAAGTATTGATATGTAATAAAAATATAAAATATTTGAAAACACATAATATTTTGTTGGATTATCGGGTTGTTCTACGGTTATGCTATGAACCTCTAATCTTTTGAAACTCTTCAAATGAGAACTTTCGAATTTCAAAAGTGGGATCGAATTGATTGGTTGTCGGGTTGGGGACTAGTGTAGGGTTAGAAAATTCGAGCAAGAAAGTAAAAGGTTTTTGACAAAGTAAATTATTCTATAAAGTGTAAGAAAAACTTCTACTTTATAAAGTGGAAGAAAAATATTCATTTTATATTAAAATTTAGTCGTTAATAGATTAACGTCGGTCGTTTATATTTTTTTTATATAATGGAAGAAAAAATTATGCTAAGCTTATTTTAGTTATACTCTAAAACGGTGACTTATTTATGTCAATTTTATCTCTTTATGGCTCAAATAAGTTCTGCACTCTTTGTTTTAGGTCTCATTTGTTTGCACTTAATGGAGGTCTGAATCTGAATGGTTCAGACATTAGGTCATTAAGTGCGTTTGTTTTTTTTACTAAAAAAATCTCTTAATGAGTCTGAATGGGTCCGAAAAGGTGTGAATGAATCAGATTTGTGATAGTCTTATTCTCATTCAGACCCTTTTAAAGACAGATTTATTTTCGGAAAAAAATTGTGCTCCATATTTTTTTCTTCAAAAAAAAAATTAAGCCTCTCTTATTCTCTAACTTTATTAATTATCCAAATTATTTTCCTTATACTTTTCATTTTTGTTCTTGTGGCTTGTTTACCAAGAATTGATAAAATTTATTGTAAATTTTTTATTTTGACTAAAGTGCAAAACAAACTTCATAAATATGTGATTTTGAAATTTTAAAAAAAAAGATGACATTCTAACAATTACTTTTATCATTATAATTTATATATATAATCCACGTAGTTCCATTTTATTTTTATCAAAGTTAAAATATTAATTTATAATTTAAATATATTAATGTTTATCAAAGACTGGGTTTTTTTCTAATATCTTGTTAATGTAATATTTAACTACAAATTAATAAAAATTATATATATATGTACACACTTATATTCAGATGTTTAATAACAAACAATCTTAATCATTCAATGTTCAGATCTAGAGACAAGATTTTAATCATTCAGATGTGCATTCATCTAAACATCTTATTCTTAATGAAAACAAATGAGGCCTTAAGAGTAATAGTGGACCGAGAGGTACATTTAACCCAATAGGTGAATGAGGAGATTTTAAAACCTTTTCAGATAGTCCAGGAATTTTTTTGGCCCTTTTCCGTTTATTTTTTTTATTATTGATTAATTTTTTTTAATGATAATTATTGTATTTTTGTGGTGCTAACATGTGACACTTTTTACTTCTCTTATTATATTTAGATTTGTAATTTTTGTTTTACAAATGTTTAAATTCGTATTTTGAAGAGTTTGGTTCAAAAAAGTGTAGATGATGTTATTAAGAATAGTATTTTTTCAAAGATATGCGTTAGGAAGTTTAGATTTATTTTAGGGATGAAATTAGTTATTATTTAAAATTTAAATTAATTATTTAGGTATTTTGTTGTGGCTAGCTTTCTTTTTTTAAAGGACGTGATCTTTTTTTTTTTGAATTGAATTGAAAGTTTTTTCTTTCTATTATTAAAACAAAATAAGGCATATTATAATTTATATGGATAGAATTTAAAACAAATTTTAGAAAAGAAAGGGGAAAAAAATACCTCAATCCACAATTTTTAACTTTTTTTTTTGACAATAAGTTTTTGAGTTTATAATGGTAATTATCTTTATTTTGCCAAACAGTTTTAATTATTTTTTTTAGTATTAATTTTTTATGGTAATTATTGTTTTTTTATGACAATCAGTTTTAAATTTATTATTATTGCATTATTTTTTTTAATGGTACTTATTGTTTTTTTATGGTGATGACACGTGACACTTTTTACTTCTCTTATTATATTTAGATAAATAGATAGATTATTGATTTATTTATTTTTGACAAACAATTTTAAATTTATTTTCTGGATTAGTAATTTTTTATGGTAATTATTGCATTTTAATGACTATCAGTTTTTAAATTTTATTACATTAATGGTAATTATTGTTTTTTTTTTGTGTGACATGTGACATTTTTTAATTCTCTTATTATATATAGTTAGATTTTTTTTTTATTGTGATTATTGTTTTTTTATGACAATCAATTTTAAATTTATTTTTTTGATTATCAATTTATTTTTTTAATGGTAATTATTTTATTTTTTGTGCTAACACATGACACTTTTTACTTCTCTTATTATATATTGGTTATATATAGAGATAAGATGATTTTCTTAATGGTAAATATGACATAAATAAACTAGATATTTTTAAAACAAAATAAGGCATATTATAATTTATATGGATAGAATTTAAAACAAATTTTAGAAACGAAAGGGAAAAAAAAATACCTCAATCCACAATTTTTAACTTTTTTTTTTGACAATAAGTTTTTGAGTTTATAATGGTAATTATCTTTATTTTGCCAAACAATTTTAATTATTTTTTTATTATTAATTTTTTATGGTAATTTTTTTTTTTTTTATGACAATCAGTTTTATAATGACCCAACGGAAGTATGAGTGTGACGGACATATTACTATTTATAATGATGCAATATTTATGATGTCCACGTGGACACATATATACCTTTAAAATACATTATTAAATAGTGCAGGGGTAAAAGGTCATTTCCAGAGTTCGATATCGTTATAACAATTTCGATCAAAGTTCGAATATGATAATTTAAGAGAAATGATAAATTTAAGAGAGAGGATAAATTTATTTTATTATGAATTTTTTTTTATGATACTGACACGTAACACTTTTTACTTTTTACTTCTATTATAAATATATCATATATAGATAGATAGATTCAAACTGGTTTTAGGAATTTGCCTAATTCTTCTTTTTAAAGAAAAAATAATGATATAGGAAATTATCCTTCACCACGTGGACAAAATAATTTTATAAAATCGGATAATTTTTCGTTAACCATCAAAGACATAGGTAAAAATAATTTCAAACAAAAATAACATAAATAAACTAAATTTTGACTTTTAACTAATAACATAAATAATGAAAGTAGATGATATAATTAAGCCTTTCTCTTAAATTCTGTCATAACTTATTACATTAATTCAATTCAAATAGTGACCCATAACTCCATGAGTATTAACCACGTATAAAAAATAAATAAAACAAAAATTAGGAAAAAGAATAATCAACGTTGTTTGTAGAGAGAGACAGAGAGAGAAATGGGTAAGGTAGCAACCACCACAGCAGCGCCGACTGAAATGAAGAAGAAGAAGAAGAAAGGCCGTCCTTCTCTTTCAGATCTCCATGAACGTGACAATAAACTTTCCATTTCTACCCCTTCCCGTCGATCCAATCGCCGGAACCCTAATCCGAACTCGAATTCTCCGCCTCCGGACTTCATCGACGACGATGACGAAAGAAAAGAGAAGAAAGTCAAATTAGTTGTGCGTTTGCCTGAATCAAATCAACAACATTTCGAACAAGATTCGTCTTCTGCCAATTCACTTTCTGATTCCGACGGTGATAATCACGACGCGTCTGTTAATGTTAAGAGAAGGAAAATCGATTCCGTGGATCCCAGATCTGACGACGTTGTTGCTGATCAGGTGGTGAAATTTGGAGTTTTTTGCTAATTTTCAAAAGCTTAATTTATTGAGTCAATAAATGTTCTTCTATTTTTGGAAAAATTACAATTTTTGTTTTTCGTTGGAAATTTCCTATGTTTATGTGATCCAAAACTTATTTGGATTTGGCGCCTAACTTCAACGTTCCTTTTTTTTTTTTTTCTGGTGATTTTAAAGATCTGATGTGTTTTGACTGAGTCGCTGCTTTTTTATTTCAATGTATTTTCGAAATTTTAGAAAGTAATTAATTAAACTTTTATTACTTGCAGTTGCTTATTTTTCTTCTTTCATTTCCAAAAGTCGCCTACTTCATTTGAGTGTTGATGTATATTTAGTAAAAAATTGAATTTTGCAGGAGGAAAAGCTTTCGAAAGCGACGGACACATCAAATGGTGCAAATTCGAACTATTTTCACGAATTTTCGTTTTGAATTCCCAGTTATTGTTTTTAAATTCTGTTTATTGTTGGTTAGGGTCGCCATTGGTGTCCGGCCCCACAACACCTTTGCCAGACAAAAAGTTGTTGGTGTTCATACTTGACAGACTTCAAAAGTAAGATTTCAGATTTTTTCACTTTCTTTTTATTTTTTCCATATCTCAAATTCTCTCTATGTTCAAATGCAGGAAGGACACTTATGGTGTATTCTCCGAGCCTGTTGATCATGATGAGGTACTCTTTTGCAAGAGACACATTTAATTGTATTTTTAGTAGATACTGAAATAGTTTCTTTGCAGATACCTGATTATCATGAGATTATACAGCATCCTATGGATTTTGGAACCGTGAGGAAGAAACTTGATGGACGACTCTACTCAAACCTGGAGGAGTTAGAGGTCGGTAAAGGATTACTCAATGGTCGAGTGTATTCTATTTGTAGTAGTTGTGGATTCAACTTTCCATTGACACTCCATGGCTTACTTTGGAAACAATTACGGCTATTGATATTTTATGCAAACTTGTAGATTCTCCTGTTTGCTGATGTTTTCTGTTGCCTTTTGTAGCATAATGCTGACTGCACGTTGAGTTAAGCACAAAATTCTTTTTAGGTTACAGTTTCCTGTTTTAAGTTCCGATCTGGTGATATTTATTTTTGTTTTATCATTTAAGAAATTTCGTGACCATGCAAATTTAAAGTGGTTAAGGGAGGACCAATATTCTTGAATTTATCAGTTTGATATTTGCTCTGTTGGTCATTTATTAAAGCTTAGGAGTGTTGGCAAGATGTCTGACCTTCATAGCCATTAGAGTCCCTTGTTTTTGGATCCTTGTGTCCAGACTAATTCTCAAGGCTACAGTGCTGCAGTCGTTGTTAACAGTGTTATTTAAATAAAAGAAGCTATGACAGTAAGACTTTTGTGTTTGATTTGCTTTCAGTTAAGCTGAAGCTGTTGAACATGTTCATTGTCTTCCTCTCGACCTTATCAGCCTTTCATGCACAATTGATTTTATATATTTCTTATCTTTAGTTGGTTTAGAATTCAAGACTTATCCTCATGATCATCTCTCTTTCTTGGTTGTTTAGAGCCCGTTTGGATTGGCTTAAAAAAAGTACTCCCTCCGTTTAAAAAAGAATGACCTAGTTTGACTTGGAACGGAGTTTAAGAAAAGAAAGAAGACTTTTTAATCTTGTTGTTCTAAATTAAAGTTATGTCAAATGTACCAAAATGCCCTTTAATCTTGTGGCCTTAAACATGTCACGTGGAAAGTTGAATTTAAAGTGTTGCCAAAAAAGGAGAGGGAGTAGCTTTTAAGTTAAAAATAAAAAGTCAAACTGAAATGACTTTTAAGTCAAAAAATAAAACGTAGGTGAAGACCAACTTTTGGTTTTTGACTTATATTAAGTCATTTAAACTTATTTTAAGTCATTTTTCACCTTGTCAAACACTTCCTAACTTATTTTAAGTCATTTTTGACTTATCTTAAGTTATTTTTTATATTTGTCTAACACTTACCGAATTTAAAAACTGTCTTAAAAGAAGATTTGACCAACTTTCAAGTCAATCCAAACACCCTCTTAGTCTAGAATTGGAAATTAATTCTAAAGATGAAAAAAAGAAGCAGCAAAAGAGGCATCAATATAAAGAAGTTAAAAGAATACGATAAATATGCAGGTCTCAAATTCCAGAATTTATGATGCATTTGGGGAAGGTATGCTTAAGGAGATGTAAATGTACCCAAATGCACTATCATCGTTAGCCTGAGGATGTTCTTCTAGTGTTTGTTTAGTCATGGTGTCTTATTTCTCATTTTGTTTAGCAAAATTTGTGTTAGGTTGCTTATTTTCGCTTCTTGATACTTCTATTGGTTCAATTAGTTTTTTTTTCATCATATGCTTTATTATTGGTGGGGTGCAATTGTGTTTGTCCTGAGAAAATGCTGCTGGAGTGGTAAACAGTTAAAATTTGATGCTGACCTCTGGCACAATGTCGGCTCATGCAGGCTGATGTCTTCTTAATATGTTCAAATGCAATGCAATATAATGCCTCAGATACTGTTTACTTTCGGCAGGTGCGCATTAGCCTTTGTCTGCTTCCATTTTTTTTTGCTTCCATTATTTCCTGAACATATTGCTCTTTAGGCACGGTCTATTCAAGATCTGGCAAAAAGAGATTTTGATAATTTGAGGCATGAAGGGGAGGATGGTGAGCTGCAACCTAAGGTTGTTCGTAGAGGCCGGCCCCCAAGCAAAAATCTTAAGAAGTCTGAAGAGAGTTCTCCACCCCCAAGCAAAAACCTAAAAATGTCTGTTGAGGGTTCACCTATTGATTGTATTGCTCCTGAGCTTTCTTCAGGCGCCACTCTTGCTAGTGGAGAGGAAAAAGTCGGTGGATCTAATTCTTACAATCTAAGAAAGGGACCTATGCTTTATAAGTTCCGTTCTGCTGATATATCCTCCACATATCGCTCTCGTGGTGAAACTTATTCTGAATGGTTGGTTGATTGGAATGAGTTTCCAGGTTTGTACCTTACACTCTTTTTTTGTTTTTCTGCAATCTCTTTTCTTTTTCTATTTTGTTGAAAAAAGCTGATTGTTTTGTTACGTGCAGCTTCCATTTTGAGGGCTGATCTGAAGTATGGAAAGAAACATTTTTCAGTTGATGAAAACAGGCGTGACACATACCAACTATTCCATCAGTCAGCTTCTTGTAGTGAGCCATCTTTGTTGTGGAATGCTGATGACCTAAAGCGGTTAATGGCAGTATGTACTTTAAGCCTATGTTATTTTTTTTTAATAACCGAGAAATTCGACAGCCAGTGACACAGGGTTTGAAAATCGGTGGATGATGGGCCCGCCCTCTACCCTTCTCCACTTAAATACCAGGCTTTTTATCTGTGTTGAGGTTCAAACCTGTGACACACTCGACCTAAACATCCTATGTTGTGCTCTTACCACTAGACGAAATACCCTTGTGGCTTATGTTGCTTTCTTTTCTCTTTCTTTCTCACCTTTTATTTTTCTTTTTCTCCCTGCTCTCGACGACTGCAGGGTGTTGTGGACGTTTTCACTGTTTTTTTTTATAGCTGTGCAATGCCTTTCAGGAAATACTATGCTGCTGCTGTCGAGTTTTGCAAATTATTATTTTGCATTTCCGGTACACATTATCTTCTAAGACTACCTATTAAAAATGATAAAAACACTACCTTCTAAGACTCGACTTTGATGAAAATGGAGAAAAACAAATCTTTCCACCTCTAGGTTGCTTGTAGGTATATCAACTGTACTGCAAGATAAAGTTCATGTTTTTAGTGCACTATATTGGATGGGCAAACATTAATTTGTTTCACTAATGATTCTGCTGTGAAGTATTAACAGTCTCATGCTGGACCTTCTAAACACTTTTTAGGGCTGATCCTCTCCCATCAATGCAATCAAAGAGTGGGGAAAAATTGCAGTAATCAGTCTGGTGTATTGTCACTCTTGCCAGATTACCTTGTCCCACCATCCCTGAAAGAAAATAAGATGCCTTTATTTTCTTGTGATTGTGTGTGATTATCTTTGATGTTGTCTTATGCAACCAAGACTAATCTGACTATAATGCAGGTTGGTGTTCACATCGAGCAGCATGCATACGCTAGAAGCCTTGCCAGATTTGCTGCAGATCTTGGGCCAGTAGTCTGGAAAGTAGCTTCTAAGAAGTTAGAAACTGTTTTACCTGCTGAAGTAAAGTTTGGTCCTGGATGGGTAGGAGAAGGTGGAGGATCAACATTAAAGTCAACTTTTTCATCTCAGAACAAATCATCAGATTGCTTGGCAGCTGATCACCATTCTTCTAGAGCCGTTATACCATCTCTTCGGGGAGTAGGTTCTGCTGTCATGTGCAGGCCTAGTGATGGAAATGTTGAAGCTGGTAAGACATTGAACAGCCAAAATGATGTAGCAGAGGCTAGTGGTGATTTTTCCTGTGCATTTCCTGCATCTAACTCCCAGGCTAAGCAGAAACCTTCCGGCAACCCAAGAAATGGTTTCAGTGGTATGATTGGGTATGATTTGTCTGCGCAAATGGAGGTAAAAAGGCTGTCCATGCCTAAAGGGGAACCAAACCTACAAGAGGCTGCCTCAAGGCCTGGTGGTCAATTGCTTGGAACAGTTCCTAAAAGAGATGTTTCATCCTCACATCAGTCGCCTTCAAACCGTGTCTCCTCTCTGGAAAACAGTTTACGAGAAAGCTGGAGTACATTGCATTCTGGGAATTTAGAGCAGACTTGGAGGGTTTCTGGAGATTCTCAACCTGCCTCTGTATCTGCAGGGCAGTATAGGGTATCTCTTCCAAATCCGCCGGACCTGAATGTCAAAGTCCAAACTTCAAGCTCCCCTAGTTCTAGTTTACGAGTTGGATCCCCACAGCAGCCAGATTTAGCATTGCAGCTCTAACTTATTTATTAGCCCTTTCTGCATCTGAACCAGGTGAAGTAGATTATTCATGTTAACCTAAATCATGGTAGGGGCACTAGGAAAATGGATGTATCCAATTTTTAGATTGAAACTAGGGAATTGGTATGTAACAACATTTGAGAATTTGAACCCATGATTCAAATAGATAGTTGGGTGGGGAATATCCGCAGTTGATACTGCAACTCTGTAAGTAGTATCTCCCAAATATTTTGGCAAAAAACCAATAGGTAGGTAATTAGGGGGGGGAAATGGTTTTTGGCTTCTTTTTTAAAAAAAAAAATTGATTTTGGTTATATATTACAACCCTACAATGCATAGCAACATAATCTAATCAAGTATGTGACAACTTTTTAGTATCATCAAGTTGATTTATATGGTGTACAATGTGGTTTAATATAATGCCATATAACCAAAAAATAGTCTACAATGATCTCCAATGATTGTTTTGTTTTGCCTTAAACACAAAAAAACTAGTGTCTAAATTACGATGGATGATCATTAATGGGCATTGATCACTCATAAATAATCAAATATTAATGTGTTCACATCTAATTGGGAAGCAAGTCTTATTATACTAAATAGAGGAAATACATAATTACCCCATGAAACTTATATCCTTTTTTTAAGTAGACATCTTAAGTTTGCGGGGGTCCTATTACCCCCACGAAACCATCCTAAAGCACAATAAATACATCATTTTGACCCGTTTCACACCCATCAGTGTTGTCACGCAGGTTGGGCGCGTCAAGGAATAAAAAAATAACATCCAACCAATGTTAAACTGCCATGTGGCATTCCCAATTTAAATTAGCTTCTTCATTAAATAGACTATCTTCCCCAAAATTATCCATTGTTAGCCGTTGGATTTTTGCAATTTTTCATTTTAATTTATTTTTTTTTGTTTAAAATCTGTGAAATCAATTTCCTATGATTAGGTTTTGAGGGAGAGATGTCAAATGCAAGCTTGAATCGCATTTGTAATGATGAGAACGATCCAATGTTGCATTTAACAATGCGATGCAACTCCAGAACCTGATCAGTCAGTGTGAGTTTTTTCAATGCAGACACATCTACAGAGAAGCCAACTGCACTGCTGACTTCCTCTCTAAATGGAGCCATCAATTCAACAGAATCCAGCATTTTTATACCTGCCAGCAACTCCCTCCAGCAGCTAATGGCAGTTATCTTTTGGAGAAAATGGGGATGACCAATTTCAGAAGAAAGAAACTCAAGAGAATCAAACATCCACCTTAAACCTACTTCCCTATGATACCTATAGAAATTTCTATAGTTTTTGTTTCCCCTACCCTTTTCAGTTTGGCTATGGTTATTGGTAATTATAGCTATAGTGAATAGGCTTAGGTTTTTTATTCTCCTTGTAAGGGGAGAGTCTCCCTTATTTAAATTTCGTAGTGGATATGTAAAGAGAGGAGTCCTCTCTTAGGTGTCTTCTTTGATTTTCTTTTAGATTATGGGGATGAGTAGGTTAACCTTAGTAGGATAACGAACTTGGAACCACCATAGGTGGAGGTAAGGTTTATGCCCCCCTCCTTGTACTTTTGTTTCTATTTATGATAAGGTCTGGGGGTGTTGCTAAGCCCCTGACCCCCTCAAGGGTCGTTTAATTAAAAAAAAAAAAAACAATGCGATGCAAACATGTAGACTTGATGCAATTGCAGACTTCGTGGTCTGAGGACAACCCAACTAGAAGATTTTGGTCCTGTCCACACTTTCGTGTAAGTTCAATACATATTTCTTTACTTTTTTTTTTGTTCAATGTTTCAATAAATTCACTGTGTATGACCTATTTTAGGAAAATTCATGCAAGTACTTTAGATGGAGGGATCTTGAGGAGATTGATATGCAATCCAAGTCTGTTATTCCAAGATTGGCGAATAGAATTAAGGAATTGGAAGAAGCATTACAATTCTATAAAAGTAAAGAGAAGATGAAATTGTTGGAGAAGAAAGGTGATCGAGTATGTGATGATAAGCTAGTCAAGAAGAAAAAGAAGATGAAATGTAGCATCTTGAATTGGAAGCTTATCATAGTGTTTGTCACAGTGTTTTTTTTTATTTTAGGCATTAATAAGAATGTAAATGCTGGAAAATGTAGTTGTATGCCATTGGAATTGCCTTAGTTGTTATTTGTTGTTTTCGTTTATGTTTGGTTGTGTAATACATTGGAAGTTTGTTGTAGTTGCTTCTTTTTTCTAGTTTAAGGCAAGCTTATTTGGTTGTGTAATACATTGTTGTTTTTGTTGATGTTTGGTTGTATAATACATCTATTTTGGGTGATATTGTGACCATTTAACAATATACAGAACATTGTAATCTCGTCTGCCAACTTCCTTTCATACTTGATCGAAAGAGAATAATCAGAATGACAATCATTGTGACAAAATAAGAACTTCATTTCATTCTTACTGAAAGTTTGAAGTTGATACAACTTGATTAAATGTCACAAAGAAGAAAGTTGCATAAACAAACTTGGCAAAACACAATTGATACCCAATAATGCACCAAAATATAGTTTGGTATCAAGAAAAGTGTAAATAACACAATAATAACCAAAACACAAAAAAAAACAACCCCAAAATCATCTATTTCTTAGTAGTTGAATTGCTTTGGCTTTCATTAATAGCAACAACTGCAGACCTTGTTTGAATTCTTTTTTCACCCCTCATTTGTTGAAGTCTATTACTCGTAATGGCTGATTTTCCCTTCCATTTCACTCCAAAATGTGGTTGATAGCCAATATCTCCAGTAACTTCATCAGACCTCCTTGGAACTCTTGTACCAATGTCAACAACTCTACTACTTTGCATTCCATGTTGTATAAATAAACCACAAAGGTTAGTAAAAGTATATGAAAAATCAGCATCACCAACTAATAACAGTTGTACTTACATTAATAGTTATAAAACCATCATCACCAATCAATACTCCAAATCCTACCATCCTTGGCCTTTTAAAAGGTCTTGAATATTGTCCACCACTAGTGCCTTCATTCTCATGATTTTTTTGAGGCATACCTATTCCTCTGCCTCTTTCTCTATTCGTTCTTTCATTCACTTGGTTTTGGTGAGGCATCTCTCTTTCGTTGCTTGTGTTTTCATTTTCTTGTCTTCCTTGAGGCATTCCCCTTCCTCTGCCTCTTCCTTGAGGCATTGTCTGTGTGTTCTCCTAGCTTTCTTGAGACATCCCCCTTCCCTTGGCCCTTCCTCTTCCTCTGCCTCTTCCTTGAGGCATTGCATGTGTGTTCTCCTGGCTTCCTTGAGACATCCCTCTTCCCTTGGCCCTTCCTCTTCCTCTTCCTCTATCATTTTCATTATTTGATCTGGCATGATTATTATAATACAACATATTAGTATATATTCAACTAAATATTAATGACAATTGATACATTTACCTGTGGTTGAGTAGAAGTTGTTGCAGTTTGAGTTGGAACAGTTGGAGGAATAGGACAACTTCTTTTATTGTGGCCCTTTGTATGGCAATTGCTACAAGTCATAACAGCTCCACATTTGCTAAGCTTACCAGTTCTCTTTGTTTCATTTGTCGTTTTCGATTCTAGCTTTACTTGGTCTTCCAGGCAACTGTTTAACTGTTGGTGGTTGAACTGTTGGATTAACAGATGGTGGCCACATATTCATATTGTTCATTGGCTGGATAACATATTCATATGTCCTTAGGTAGGTTTCGTTGTTATAATAGCTAGCCACATAATGAATTGGTTCATATTGCTTGTAGTGTAGGGAAACAACACCATGAGGACAAGGTATGCCCTTAAGCTGCCAAGCTCTGCAACTACAAGTGCATCTAACAATGTCTACACAATGTGTAAAGCCTTTGTCTACAACCTCAAAACCCCTTTCTCCATTCCATGATATGTTACACTGCATTGACTTATTAATGTTTTGTTGTAAAATCTTAAAAGCCAGGGGAGAAATATTAGTGACCCATGTGTTTGAGAACTCTCGTAATTGGCCAATTCTTTTCATCATCCTAATCTCTTCCAGCATTGTAATGATTGTCTTGTATCTTGCAGACAATATCCATGAATTGAAGCTCTCTGCCATATTGTTATCAACTGAGTCACATTTGCTATGTTCTTTGAAGTATTTTTTACACCACATTTCTACATTGTAGTACAAAAGACCATCCAAGCAGTTACTTCCCAATTTCTTCATAACATCTATGTGGTCCCTCAATTCAGCTTCAAATGTAGATTTTGCAATCTTCTAGAAAACATTTCTTCTCTCTATTCCCTTCCAATTTTTGCACCAATTTGCAAAGACATGTCTAGCACACACCCTATGTTCAGCAAGTGGTAATAAAACTTCCACTGCAATTTCCAGTCCCTATTAAAGAAAGAAAATAAACATATAAAAGAGTTAATGTGAATAAAAAAGTATATAGAATATAAGATGAATGTGTATTAATAACCAAGGACATACCTTTTGCATATCAGTAATTAGGGTAAGTTCATGTCCTTCTCCAAGATGAAGATCGTTCTTCACTAGAGTCAAAAATCATGCCCAAGTAAATTTATTCTCAACCTCAACTACTGCCCAGGCAATAGGCAACATCTGGTTATTTCCATCTTTGCAAACTGTCAACAATAACTTACCTCTGCACACTCCTTTGAGAAAACATCCATCTAGGCCAATGCATCTCCTAGTACCTCCAAAGAAAGCTTTCTTTAAAGCATGAAAGCACACATAAAATCCTTCAAAGATTTTATGCCCAGTTCAACAGTTTCTCCAACTTTAACAATACAAGTGCTACCTGGATTTGTTCTTAAAATCTCATCTCTGTAATAAAAAATTCTACCATGCTCAACAATATGATCACCCATAATCTCTTTTAACACTCTAGCTCTAGCTCTTCTCACTATTGTCTTTCCAACTTGAATATCCAATTCTTTTCTAATAAGCTCTTGCAACTTGTTAATTCTGATGTTTGGCTGCTCAGTTATTCTATCCTTGTATATAACAGCTAGAAACCTTGAATTGCACAAATAGTTATGAGTTGAAGACATACAAATATGGACAGGGTTGTAGTTTTTAACCACAAAATCTGTAGTTTGGCTATCCAAACTTGCAACCAATAACCAAGGACAACCCTTTTTGCATCACCTAACTCTGACTCTTCTAGGCTCATTCACATATTTCTCAATTTGAATTTTTTCTTGAACTGCATATTTGGTTACAGCTTCCCTAAATACTCTTACAATTGTAAACACCAAACCTAATTCCCAAACAATGAAGTTGGATAAAAAATAACTCTATTTTTTTTCTTCTTTCTAACAATTTGTTCAACCTCTTCACCATCTCCCCATCCTGTTTCTTTTCTAATTCAAAGCTAGGAGCTTCATCACTAGGATAGTAAGGTTCATCACCCCCCTAACTTACCTAATAAGCTATCCTTACTGCCAACATTTGTTTCATCGTATCCTATATCTGGGCCCTTTTGAGTAGTATGAATATGTTCTGTAGTTGTGCCTCTAGTTCTCCTGTTTGACCTGTTGAAATGCCTTCTTGAAGCCCTAAAATCTCTATACTCTTCATGAACATTACTATCTAAACTCTCTTCACTACTATACACTTTAGATCTCTCATCTGATTCATTATCTGATTCATCATCTGAACTTTCTACACTTAGATTGGAAGGTTCAGCAGCAGGATTAGAAGGCTAATAAGAAGTGTTAGAAGGTTCACCAAGAGGATTAGAAGGCTGAGATGAAGTGTTGGAAGGTTCACCAAGAGGATTAGAAGGCTGAAATGAAGGGTTGAAATGTTCAAAAGGAGGACTAGAAGGTTCAGCAGGAGACTCAATTTCATTAAAAGATGTAAAAGATTCCCCACCTACACCACTGTCCATCACATGGGGGACATAATCCAAAGCCAATGGAGCAATTTCTGGCTCATTAACCTCATGACAGACATAAACATCCATTTTATCCCCATTTTTAAACATAGAGGAAATGTCACAAATAACCTAATCACTTTTAACTTGAACAAAAATCCATCGATTGGAGATCTAATAAAAAAGGAACAATCTGTTGAATATCCTAAGTCCTTTATGTAGCCTTTCAGTTCAAAATAAGACATTTGATCAGTGTCTACTTCCAAGAATTCAGTCACAGACCTACCAACATAATCAAATGGGGGACCAAACACAATTTCCCCCCCATGATACCATCTCAAAGTTATAAGAACAAATGACATTGTAAGAAATCCTGAAAACACAGTTACAAACAGATCTCAGAAACACCGAATCAATGAAAGTTACAACAATATTCAACAACAACAACCCAACAAAGAAATACACATCAACTGCAACAGGCCAACTTCCCAATAATACAGATGAGTAATATACACAACAACAACATGACGACAAACGAAATACGCATCAAACAATGTAAAATAAACTAACGACTAATCACTACAAAATTCACTTACAATGTAAAATAAACTAACCTATGAGCCTTCACTTCTTCGTTCTGCCATCAATATTCAACAAATTTCAACAAGAAATGTTACCAACTAGCTTTGCCTCATGAAAATTCTTAGGGTTTTGATCGGTTGAAGAGAGAGAGAGAAGACGAGGGTAGGTGAGAGTGAAATGGGTTGGAAGTTTCTTTGGGTTTGGGTTTGGGTTATGGGTTAAAAATGAATGGGTTAGGATAAAACCCGGCCTTTGTTAAATGGGTTGGAGGTGTGGCACACGCTCTTGAATTGAGAGCACTGATGTTGAAAAAATGATGTATTTATTGTGCTTTTGGATAGTTTCGTGGGGTAATGGACCCCCGCAAACTTAAGGTGTCTACTTAAAAAAAGGGTTTAAGTTCCATGGGGTAATTATGTATTTCCTCTACTAAATAACATTCTTTATAAAATTATCAATACATATAGAGAAAATACATAATTACCCCATTAAAGTAAGACCTATTTTTCAAAAAGACACTCAAACTTTGCGGGGGTCCTAATACATCCCTAAACTAGTTTAATATGAAATTATTGAACCATTTTTTGATATTTTATAAAGAGAGTGTATATCACTCACCTGAAGAGCGTGGAAACCAAAAAAAAATAAGATTAAACTTTTCTTTTGCAATATTTTTTATTAACTAAATAAATAATCGTTTATTTTACTGTTTTGATTTTTTTTTCTTTCTTCTCCTTCATAACCTTCACCATTGAAGGAGATGACAACAACTTGAAGTTTCTTTCTTTCTTTTTTCTCTCTTTTCGTTTTTCATTTAGATTGGATTTCAACAGAGAGATTTGATTGTAACTAAATAATACAATCTCAGTCCATAAAAGAAAATGTCTTTTTAGTATGATCAATAACAAAAAAATTCCATTGATAACGGAAGCAACAACATATTTGTTGTTTCATCCTCAAATTTCTTCTCCTCCTTCTTGCCCGGCTGGGGTGAGAAGCTCCGGGAAGATGATGGCGACTTCGAAGATAGAATCGTCGGCATTTCAATTAACTCCTGATCAATTTACGATGGCTGAAATCATGTTAAGATCAAGCAAAAATAATATCATCTGCGTTCGGAGAGAGAATTTTCATTTTTTTTCAAATACAACTCAGGTTGATTTAGAGCAAAAATTAAAGGAAAAATAAACAAAAAGAAGACTTTGATAGAAATTTTAATTTGAAAAAAATTAACTTTGAAAGCGGATTTGATTTTCCAGTTTTAATTTTGATTTAGTGTTGTGAATAGTGTTGTAGCAATGGCGGCCACTCTAGGGCGAAGAAGACCAACAGATGGGTTAAGCGAAGAAGAAAGAAAAAATAAAGAATCAAAACTAACAAAAAAAAACATAAATAAAATCAAAGATTGAGAAATTATATAAAATTGACACATGGCAAGTAACAATTGGTGTGTGATTTCACCTTCTTTCTTATAAGTGGGTTTGACCTAAAAATGAGGTATTTATATTACTTTCAATTCCGTGGGGTATTAGGACCTCTGCAAAGTTTGAGTGTCTTTTTCAAAAATAGGTCTTACTTTAATGGGGTAATTATGTATTTTCTCATATATATATATATATGGTATGCATTGTGGTACAACATTGGTCTTAGTATATATTTCACCATCAGAATGATTAAATATGTTTAACCAGTGTTTTAAAAGGCCGAGGCGTGAGGCAGAGCGTTTTATTTAGTATAGAGCGAGGCGTAAGCCTTGAGACGTGGGGCATAAGCCCTATGGATCATTAAATTTTTAATTTACAATATAGTATAATAATATAATAAAACAAAATTATAAAAATACATCAATAGTTTGAAATAATTACAAACATGATTAAAGAAACTCATAAATAAAACTTCTAACATGATTATTCAAGTATAAATAATCTAACATCTTAACTTTCTAATAATAAAAGAATCATAATTTCTAAAAAAATTATTTCTATCATACTATACAATTTACCCCCTAAAAGAAAATAATCAATAAAACTTACTAGTATTATAATAAAAACATCACTCCATCATGAATATAAATAAAATTACTTTCAAATAGCTAAATAAAATATGATAATTTTGAGACATATGACAAAACCATGAAGACCAATCATAAGTGAAAAAATAAAATTTTGCTACGTATTTTTAAAAGGAATGTTACGTAATATACAATCACCTTCACAGTGTTACGAAATAGTAAAGATCTGATACTACAACTTGTTATTTGAGTTACTCTCAATCTTCTTATCTCTATAGATTAAAAAATTATTAGGTTTCATTCATTTATTCAAGAATTATGAGGGTCAACAATGTTAACTAAAAATTTTAATACATAATTTGTGCAAGATCTGTTAGGCGACCCCAAGCGTTGGGAGTTGAGTGTGGCTTAGGGCGTACAGTCGGACGTTTAGGGCGTAAGTCTTATAGAACTAAGCCCCACACTTGAGTCTCGGGGCGTTTTGCTAGAGCCCCACCCCAGGTGAGTCTCAACAGAGTCTTTTAAAACACTGTGTTTAACTATATGTATAAAAATGGTGTAGATTTGTAAGTCGGTGTTATTATCAATTCTTATGTAAATAAATTGGTGTTCAATGTG